GTCTCTTCCCATCCTGAGCTGCCCCGGAAGCCATGGAATGACTGGTGTAAGGACCCAAAAGCAAGCTGCACAGCAAGCCCTTTGTCTTGGGGAGTGTGTGTGAAGCTCACTGAAAAGCCTTTTCCCGAGCAGGCTTCGTCCCGCAGCTGCTGCATGCGCACCACCCAATGGCCCACAGGCATCAAGCTCGGCATGTCCAGAACTGACCTCACCCCCCTTACCCCGCCCACCCCCTGCTCCCCGTCCTGAGCACTGCGACCACCCCCTTCTCTCCAACCCTTCCCACTTCCCCTACTCCCCCAGGGTGCTCCCAGCTGGGCAACCGCAGCAGCCCCTAACTGGCCTCTCTGGCCCCCGCCTTGCACAGGAACGCATGTCTTTCCTCCTCACCAGATCTCAACTCAAACAGCACCTCTTCTGGGATGCCCTCCCCAACATGTCCCATCCCTAAAGCCCATCCATGTCCCCCACGGCTCCCTGTCCTTTCCCCAAGGTAGCAGTGACCATGCTCTAAACCTGCCTATGTACCCGTCTTCCCGCCACACTGGGCTGTCAGCCAGAGGAGGGCACAGACCACATCTGTTGTCCCCTCTCTGTATCTCCAGCAACTAGCACCGTGCTTGACACAGAGCAGACAGAAATGAACTCAGCTGGTCCCCCCAAGGTTTAAGAAAGCCTGCTATTTCTGGAACTGACTCACACCTGCTTGCATTTTTTAATCTGCATATGGAATCAAAGGTCTCTTAGGAGCCTGGTCTGAGGCAGGGTTCTCAGGCTTTAGTGGGCATCAGAACCACTCGGGAGACTTGCTGAAACACAGACCGCTGTACCACCGCCCTGGGTTTCTGATTCTGTAGGTCTAAGATGGGGCCTGGAAACCTCTATTTCTAACAAATTCCCACCTGCTGCTGCTGGTGGTCCTAGAAACGTACCTTAAGAACCCTGTTCTGGAGGAAGAGGGGAAAAGGGAACAGAGGTGGCCCAAGCCCAAGGTCAGGCAGGAAGTCTAAACAGGGATCCTTTCCTAAAAGTTTCTCCCTGCTACTCCCTCCCAAAAAGTCTGGCTTTGTCCTTAAGTGGAAACTTTCCACCTGCCCCTTCCTTTCCCACTACTCCCTCAAGAAACTGAAAAAGAACATCGGAAATGAATGGGCTTAAAGACAATGACCCACAGAACCAGCCACCAAAGGAATCTCAAGATTGTCACTTTAGTACTCCCGGGAAAGGACTCTTTAATGATATCCGGGAGGCCCCAGGGCAGGGGCTCACAGGTGGCCCTCTGCCCCCTCCCAGCCAAGGACAATCTTTTTACTTTGGGCATGAACAGTCTGTGTGGACACTGGAAAGTTCCTTTACATTCTTGAAATTTTTCTTTTTTTCTTTTCCTCTTAGAAAAAGGAAATACAGTCGACTGTTTCCTCCAAGGACTCAGAAGAGTATATGTGTTAGGGGAAAGACTTAGACTTCTGAACCAAAAATCCATGAATTTCTTTAGATGTGCCCTTCGCCTCGGCCTTTAAAAGCACACCCCAGGGCCCATCACTCAAATATCTCAGGCACTCCAGGCTTCTACATAGTGAGGTCTGGCTTCCGGGTTCGTCTGGCAGCAGGTTCAGAAACATCCTAATACATATCCATTTTCAAAGGCAACGAAAAACATGAAGAAGAACCCAGGGGAAGATATAAAGAGCCTCTGTCCCCCCTCAAACCCCACCTCATAGCCTTCCCCTCCCCTGTCAGTCAGCCCCAGCCAGGCCTGGTGAGTCAACCTTCTACGGTGAGAGACAGGCCACTAGGGTCATTCATTCCCCACAGCTGCAAGTCACCTCTGGAATGCCCCAAACCTGCATGTCTACCACTAAAGTCCCCTTTCCCTGTCTCCTTCCCAGGCCATCCTGCCTGAAAGTTATCTAAGCATCCAGCCAAATTCTGTCAAACTGCATTTCCTTAAGAGTGGATGTGTGATTGATAATGCAGCCACAAGAATGTAAATGACAACATTGTCTAAGACTGGCTACATAAATAGTGGTACACCCATTAGATGGACTGCTATGCAGCCATCTAAAATGACACTGTGGAAGGTATTTATTGACAAATAAGAAAGTTTACTATATATTCCCATGTAGAAAAAACGCAGGTTACAAAACAGTATTATCCTTTATTTTGGAGGGAGGGAGGGAGGGAGGAAGGGAGGAAGGGAGGAAGGGAGGGGGGGGGGGGGGGGGGAGGGAGGAAGGGAGGGAGGGAGATGGATGATAGAAACAGAGCATGCAAAACAGGAACAGTGGTTTTCTCTGGGTGGTGGGGTGACAGATTCTTATTACTTTATTTCCTAAAATTTTCTACAAAGAACATGTACTACTTTTATAACAGAAAATAAGTTATATAAAAATAATCTTAAATATCTGTTGTTAAAATAAAAGCAAGCACACAAAGGTGTGATTTAAAGAAACTATCCCAGATCCCTGAAGCGTTTGTCCTGGGCGGGATGGGCAGAGGGTTAGATAGCAAATCAGAGTGCTATAAATACTACCTCTCTACACCCTTTAGCCACTGTCCTTCATCAGCAAGGCCCTGACAGGCCACCAGGAAGGTGGAACACGGCCACCCCACTTTTGGGAAAGAGGCTCAACTGTGCTTCTCAGAAAGTGGTGAGAAAACCACTTGGCAGAGGCAGGTCTAATGCTGGCCCCTGTGTTAAAAGATAGAAATAATTAACGGTACTTTCCCCAAAACAGGATCCTAGTTTAGAATAATGTAGTAAGTGCAGTGATCACATTTTTCTGAACCGAAAGTTAAGACATGTATGGGTTGGCAAAAAATTTGTTTGGGTTTTTCCGTAACATGACTGGTGCCCTTTTAGATCAGGGGTCAGCAAACCATGGGGCCAAATGCAGCCCTGTTGCCTGCTTTTTTAAATAAGCATTTACTGGAACACAGCCTTGCTCATTCATTTAGGTACTGGCAACAGCTCATTCATCTACATATGCATTATCTATCGCTGTTTTTTGGGGTTTGGTTTGGTTTGGTTTTAAGCTATAACAGCACGGTTGAGCAGTTGCAAGTGAGAACTATGGCCCACAAAGCCTAAAATATTTCCTATCTGGCTCTTTTTTTTCTCCATCTGGCTCTTCAAGGAAAGTTTGTTAACCCTTATTCTAGGGCAACAGAGTAAAATGTAACCACAACTGTCCCAGGAAATCCAGAAAGGTCACTAGAGTTATATCAGAGCAGCCCAACAAGGCTGGTGTTGGGGTGAGGACGCCCCCGTTACAGCTCTGCTCCTGACCCCAAAAGATGGGTACCTCACCAGGCACAGAGCTGCCCACCACCCAGAGGCCCCAGGGACAAAGGGAGGGCTCTGTGGTGACCACCTTTTACTGGGTCACCTAGAACAGGGCAGCCGAGTTCTGGTGGGGGGGGGGGGCGGTTGGAGGGGAGACACAGGCAGACACGATGTCCACTACTGTGGGGCGGCACAGTGGAATTGTGCCCTGTAAGGAAAGGAGTTCGTTTCTGGACCTCAAGTTGTCTCCTGGGCTAAGGACTTCATGTTCCTCCAAAAGCCATTTCTGGACTATTGGGATTTTTCTTGGAACCATTTAAAACGTATACACTCTTACGCTAACACACTCAAGAGCGTGTTGAATAGCAGGCACTCCGACATTCTCCTCCAATGAATTTCACCAGTTCCCCAAACATTTTTATTCTGTGAGAAGCAGAAAACCAGCACAATGTGATGATAACGATAGCTGCTATTATTTACTGGGAGTTTATTATATGCCAGGCTGTGTGCTAAGTGTTCTATGTGTATTACCTGACTCATTTTTAAAAGGTAAGTACTATTATTTTGCCCATTTTACAGATGAAGGAACTAAGGCACAGAGAGGTTAAGTAACTTGCCGAAAGTCACACAATGAATAACAAGTAGAGTTAGAACTCGAATCTATCATGGCTCAGGAGCCAGGCAACCATTTAACAGATAAAAGGAGAGAACAAATAAGAGTGTGTTTTGATGTCCTAGACTGCAAGCCTTCATTCTCAACCCAATGGGTAATTAAGAAGACATTCCTTAGGGGCTTCCCTGGTGGCGCAGTGGTTAAGAATCCTCCTGCCAATGCAGGGGACACGGGTTCGAGCCCTGGTCCGGGAAGACTCCACGTGCCGCGGAGCAACTAAGCCCATGTGCCACAACTACTGAGCCCACGCGCCTCTAGAGCCCGTGCTCTGCATCAAGAGAAGCCACCACAATGAGAAGCCTGCGCACCACAACAAAGAGTGGCCCCCACTTGCGCACAGCAACAAAGACCCAACTCAGCCAAAAATAAATAAATAAATAAATAGATTTATTTAAAAAAAGAAGACATTCTTAGGATTCCCTGGTGTGTTGCCCCAAGGTGGGCACTGTGCTGGGGCCAGGGAGGGGGAGATAAAAATGCAGCAGAAGGAGAAGTTCCAGCCTCTAATGATAATCCAGAGAGAAACCCAATGCTGTGTATGAACCTGCACGGGCCCGGACTCCAATGCACAGGTGAGTAGCACAGAGGGTCCCAAGTGGTCTTTCCTCCCACTGGGGAGCAAACGTAACTGATTACAAATACCAACCTGCCAAGCACGGGGTCCAGAGGGCAATTTCATTCTCTGACCAAAAACCCACCCAAGTTTTCTGCTTAGAACATTAAAAAAGATTTCGTTCAGGAAGTGATACATGAAGTAGTCAAGATGCTCTGGAGTTGGGCGCCCCAGGTTCAAATCCTGACTCTGCTGTGAACCTAAGCAGTCATTTAAGCTCATCTTTGCAACTGAGTTTCCCTCATCTGTTCTCAAGAGGAGTGGGTTAGATAATCCATATAACAGTACTTAGGACCCCAAGTGCCTGGCACACAGTAGGTGCTCAAAACCATTAGCCGACATGATCATTATTAAGACCACACGGACACTCTGGAAGGACTCAGCAAGTCACTCAGACCTGGTGAGACCAGTGTGGACAACCCTCTTACCGATTTCTACCCCAGCACCCGGGCTGGGTACAGTACCAGATCTGACTCGGGGAGAGCAGACTCGCCCTCTCTCGGGGGCCAGTGAGGCTGATTCAGCTGTGGTGTGAGGCATCGTTCAGGACAGGTGGTCTGGTGTGCTGGCGGCCTGCTTGGAGTGCCTAGACAACCAGGACATAAATACCGCTGGTAATCCTCACCATGGTCAATACCACTCTCAGAGGAGATAACAGCACAGGAGGCTTCCGCCAGGTAAGCACAGGCTTTTGACAGTGCTGGGGAACCCCTCTGACCCCCACAAGTTCCCTGTCTCCAAGCTACAGCCCATCTGCTGCCAGATTAACCTTCTCCAAATCCATTTTCATCATGTCAAGCCCCGGCTCAAATGGCTCGTAGTTTTCTAGAGGATAAGCTCCAAACTCCTGAGTCTGAAGTCAGGACCCAGGCCTCCCGTCCAGCCTCCGCTTACACCTGTGCCATGTAAGCGCTGCTCCAATTCCTTCCCTCTCACACCAACCCTTCACCCCTGCACTTCTAAAACTGAATGAGGCCTGCCTCTGGGCCCGTGCATCAGCTCTGCTCCACCCGGCCAGGCCACTCCAGGCCTGTCCCTGAACCCGTTTCCTATAATCTGTTTCCTCACCTGGATATTACGACAGCATAAGTTCTTATTATGTCCAATCTAAATAAGAGAGGCAGAAGTACTTTGAAATGTATGAACATGTCATATATATTCAAGGACACATTTCTAATCAGGCCCTAACTTACTCTTGGCTCTTATGATTTTGTCTTCCCATCAGCTGATGTAAATTTTCCACTGCTGGTCAGATTCTGCCCCGTTTTGTAAGTTATCTTTGGCACACAGAAGTCTTTCCAATAATAAGCCCCTCGGGAGGCTCACATCTCACACGCCTCTGACTCTTTCCCCACCTACCTCCACACACAGACAGACCCTGACCACACAAATACAAGTGTCATCTGTACTGTCACACAGGTAGGTGAATAAGAACCCTGGTGGGGAACCCTGGAGCTGTAGTTGAGGAGTTTATCTTAAACTAAAATCAGATATTTAAGGGGTTGTGTTTAAATCTGGCCAAAATACTGTGGGTGGCTTTGGGAGGCTGACTGATGGCCCCCCAGAGATGTTCACACCCTAATCCCCAGAACCTGTGACTATGTTCTCTTATGTGGCAAAAGGGACTGCTGAAAGGGTGATTACGTTACAGATCTTGAGATGGGGGGGATTATCCACCTGGGCCCAATGTAATCAAGGGTCTTTATGAGACAGAGAGAGGCAGGAGGATCTGAGTCAGAAGAGGGAGAGAAAGATGTGAGAAAGGCAGACATTGGAGTGATGCAGTTGTGAGGAAGGAACCACCGTCAAGGGATGCAAGCAGCCCCGAGAGGCTAGAAAGGCAAGGGGAGGGGCTCTGCCCTTGAGCCTCCGGAGAGAATCTGCCCTGCTGACTCCTTGATTTCAGCCAGGTGATACCCATTTCAGACTTCTGACCTCCAGAGCTGTAAAATAATAAATTTGTGGTGTTTAAGTCATTGAATCTGTGGTAATTTGTTATAGCAGCAATAGGAAACTAATGCAGTGGCTATTTTTAAAAGATACATCATTGGTTTGGGAAGAGGGGCGATATTCTAGAATAATTTCCAGATCATTCATCTAAAATAACTTAGTTTAGTCACTCCACAAGTGGTACTGAGTGCCAGCTAAGTGCCAGGTGCTGTGGTAGGTTCTCGCATATCCCATGGGCAGCTCAAGACACATTCTTGTTCCTGATGACAGAGTCCTGCCTGCTTTCAGTATAAATATGCCCCATTCGTCTACCAGCCTCTTTCCCAGGCTCGGTGCAACACTGAAAGCATTATGGAGATGCTTTACATTACGTTACATGCCAGGCACTGTGCACGGCCTGGGGTACCGCAACGTCCAAGCAAGAGCCCGCACCCCTCAAAATGCTCCTCAGTTCTTACGTTCTTAATCTTTCAAAACACTTTCACTTCAGATTAAATATTTCAGTGCAACAGTATTAAAAACAAGAACAGCTACCAGTTATTACTCCCCTTCTGTGTGTATCACTTTTTATTAGTCCTAATCCTACAGCAACCCTGTGAGGTATTACTGTCCCCATCTACTGATGAGACTCAGCTCCCAGGTAAAGAAATCTCCTCTAAGTCCCAATGCTGTCAGGGGCAGGCCCATCCATGCCTGTCTGACCCCAGGCTCAAGTCCTTTCCTCCTGCAGCCTAGGAAGTGAGCAGATAAGAAACCTGCCCCCAGGTCAGTAACAACAGTCACTCTCCTGGGGGCTTCCCTGGTGCCGCAGTGGTTGAGAATCTGCCTGCCAATGCAGGGGACATGGGTACAAGCCCTGGTCCGGGAAGATCCCACATGGCGTGGAGCAACTAAGCCCGTGAGCCACAACTACTGAGCCTGTGAGCCACAACTATTGAAGTCTGTGCGCCTAGAGCCCGTGATCCGCAATAAGAGAAGCCCGCGCACTGCCACGAAGACCCAACACAGCCAAAAATAAATAAGTAAAATAATTTAAAAAAAAAAAAAAAAAGAAATGCCTTAGAAAAAAGAAAAAAAGTCACTCTCCTGGAAACACGGCAAGGTTCATGCCCTGAAAAGTGTGTCCACCTGGTTGCAGAAAATCATAAGTCATAAAAATCCAGGAGCTGACTGGGCTCTCAAAGGCCACCTGGCCAAACTCCCTTTCTGGAAAGCTCCTCAGCTACCAGGTTGAGAGTGTTAGGCTTCTCAGCACCAGCGATCCCACCCCGGTTCTGTCTCAGACGTAAGTGGGAGAAAGAGGCAGGAGCCCCACACTGAGTCCACTCTGGGCGTGCGCCTCCAGAAGGAGCTGTTGGGTACGCGGCCCCCAGTCCTGCCACGCTGACTCCTAGAACCTGCCTCCATCAGCAGCACCCCCAAACACCACACACAGGCCAGGCACGGACACCTGTGCACGTCACTGGTGCAGACATTAAATTAACGGGTCCTGCCACCGAGGTCCCGTGCAACCCTCTGGCACTACAAGCGTACGCAAAACCCCAATAGTTTTTAAGACCAGTGAGTTAACCCTACGAGGGACGACCCTAGACAGACAACAATACTCAGGAAGAGAAATGAGAAGAGGATGTTCAGAGGAAGAGGCGACTGTCTCCTCGCTGACCTCCACTCTCCTTTGCTGGCAGAACTAAGGCCACGGGCCCAGGCCTGGCCTTCAAGGCCCTTCACTGTGGACCCCAAGACATCTTTCCAGCTTTTATTTCCTACTATCTCCACCCCACACCAGCGCTTCAGCCAGAATGGCTCATGCCCCAACACACACACACACACACACACACACACACTTTCCTACTTCCACGTGCTGCTCCCACCTCCTCCCCCGGGACACCCTTTCCTCTGCCAAAATCCTACCCATCCTGATGGAATGTTAGACGCTCCATAGGGTCTGCCCCCCATCCTAAAGTCACTTCTTGTCCTCTAAAGTCCCTCATCTCTTAATGGCCTAAGGTCACCCTGCCATGCCCTATATGACTTTTAGAGTACCTGTCCCATCTCCCAGGCTGCAATGGTGCGCTCCTGGAGAGAGGATCTCTTACCCAGACCTATACTCCCCTTGAGGGTTGGTGCTGTACCATGTCCATACCAGCAGTTTAATACCCACGGGCGCCCAGGGGCTCCCCAGCTTCTCAAGCTCCCTCTTCTAGAACCCAGAACCCAAGAGACACCAGGGATGCTAAGCATCTGGGAAACGCTCTTTCTGTCACCAATCACCCTGAAACCGCCACCATCCAGAGCCATGGACACAGCGGCAGCAGCACCCTGTGCTAAATGGGGTGAGGGCAGAAGAGGGAGAATGGAGGAAAAGCGTCGTTCACAGGGGCCCGGAGCCTGCTCACATGCGCACACAGACACTGGGAGGGAGGGGTGGCGGCACTCCCAGGATGCAGCACCTCTACTGCGTCCTCTGCTCGGTCCCACTCCTTGCTTAGAAGAAGAGTGAGAGGGAAGAGGGACAAAAGACAGCAGGCCTGGCTGCCAGTGAGCTCACACGGGCTGGAACAGGGGCACAGCAGGTCTGACCTGTATGTGGTGCCCAGCCCTTGCTCTACCAAATGCTGGCTGTAAACACGTTAGGGGGCAAGAACCACAAACTGCTTTTTCGATCTCAGACAGATGGGGAGATGTTTGCTCCAGCACCTGTCAAACAGTAACCACCTGCAGGTCACAGGGCAACCTATTCTTACCTTCACCCTCCCCTGAGCCAGGACCCGGGCCAAACGCAGACAAAACATGCCAGACAGAAAGCAAACACCGGCTTGACCCCAGGATCTGGATTTAATGTAAAAGTTCTGGGTGTGTGAACAGACCCCAGGACCTCCCATCCCGCCCGGCAGACGGCAGGATCATTGCCATCAGGCCCTCCGGTTCCCAGACAACAAGGGTACTACGATGAGGCTGATGGAGGAGGGTGGCCAGCCAGGCCCGGGTTCCAGGCCCACCCTGGGCACCAGCCACATGTGACCCTGGGCACATCCGCTCTCCCTTGGGCCTGAGTTTCCCCGTTTCCTCATGTGTAAAACAAGGTGATTGACCTAGATGATTTCCAGTTCCCAGAGATTAGGACACGGCCGTTTACCCTGAGCACAGAAGGGCTGTGCTGAGAATTGGGATTTAACAGGTTCTAGAAAGAATCATACACAAAAGAATCTGAGTACTAACCCTTCTAGACGTTCTATGAAAATAGCAAGTGCGGAGGGGCAGACCTGCTTCTCGGGGGTGGTGAGGTGTTTCCCAGGCCAGCAAACACCTCTGGGAAAATCCATCGGTGGGGGGGCAGGGAGCGCGCCCCTTCTCAGACGGCCAGGAAACCCATCCTGCCCCGTTACACACGCACGCGCACACACACGTACACACACGCGCGCACGCACACACACACACACTCCTCCTCAGAGGCTGGCAGGGGCCTGGCTTCCCCTTCAAGTGCCACCCACAGCCCAGCCTCCCCCTCTCACATCAAGCAGAGGGCCTCACTTACTGCAACTGACCTCTTGTTTCCTCAAAACAGAGGCAATCAGATGTGCTCACCCTCAACCCTCGGTCCGGTCTCAGCCCTCCCCCCGCCTCTCCTCCCATCCTATCTCCTCCCTGCACTGGCCGTTCCCCTCCTCCCTCTCCCTCCTCCTTTAGGACTTCGCCCCGGACCTATTTTTCCTTTTGCCTTCAATGTCTCCTTCCACAAAAGCTTTCCCCCTCAAGCCCACAAACCCCGCTCTCGGCTTTCACGTACCAAATACTGAAAAACCTCCCGTTGACTCTGCTTCTCCTTCAGCCTCATCCCGGCCAACCCTGCCTTCCCTTCCCCTCAGCACAGGCTGCCCCGACCCCGAGCTCTCCCCCTGTGGCACTCACCATGGCCACCTGATGGCTCCACCCACCTGAGTCAACACCACCCACCTGAGTCAACACCACCCTCCTCAGCCTTTCCCGCGGGTCCCACCCTCTCCCCTGAAATCCTCTGCTGGGTTGCCATGTCTCACCCGGCCCCTCATCTCAACCTCCCTCACCAGCTCCCCTTCCACCCTCCACCTCCACAGGAGTCCCCAGGCCTGGTTTCAGCCCCCATCCTCCCTGCTCTCTACGCTGTCCCCTGGGCTGCTTCAGCCTCCCCACGGGCTGGCAGCTCCCCCAGGACCGTGCATCCCATTCCCAGGCTGGGCAGGCCATCTCAACCACTGGCCCAATTCTAGAACAAATCCAGTTACACACACGCCACGTCTCTCCCTCCAAGTCCCACAGGCACCGATGAAGGGGCACAGGGAACCCGGGGGGCGGGGAGGACGGAACCGTTCTGGACCTTGACTGTGGTAATGGTTACATGACTATATGCATTTGTCAAACAGCACAACCGCGCACTAGAAAGTGTGAATTTACTGTATGCAAATTGTACCTTAATAAAAAAGGATAGGAAAAAGGTCCCGGAGGCACCTCAACCCCTTCCCGTCTAAAACTAACATCACCGTCTTCCTGCCGCCAGCCCAGCTCTGCCCCCTCTGTTTTCAGCGGTGACACCACCATCCACCCCAAACAGTCCCCACCCCTCCCTCCACTAGAAATCTCAGCCCAGTGGCCAAGCAGTAACTTATTCTAGAGAGTCCACCTGCACAGATTTATAATCTCTTGAATCTATGCCTTCATTCCACCTCCCCACTACCCGCCACCTGGGACTCAGGCCGCCTTCACTTCTCACAGGCTGCCTCATGGGTCTCCCTCCCCATCCACCCTGATCTCTCAAAGTGACCCATTCCAAGACCCATTCTGCACAGCCTGCCTGCCTGAGTGCCCTCCCCTCTCCTCCCCACAGCAGCGCCCACCTTTGCCCCTCCCTGCTCAGGCGTCAGCTTCAGATCCTTCTCTCCCATGGAAACCTGTTCCTCCTTCAGGCCCTAGCTCCTAGACCTCCCAGCACAGGAAGGCGGTTTCCCAGCCCTTTTCCAGCAGAACCAGCACCG